CGTTACCATGATCATGTATAGGTATGTAGTTTCCCTCCATGCTAGTGGCCATAAAAAGGTGTCCCTGCATGACTTTGAGTCTACCCCAGTAACACTACATCCCATAATCTATGGGAGTTCGCCTATGGGTAGTTGGGATGTGTCGTGGCGCTGCAAACATATTCCTTGAGTCAGAGGTTCCTGCATCCCTACGTGTTAGAGAAAATAGTAATAGGTCTATGTATAATTAGGTGGGTTTCATTTCTAAAACAGCGGTGGTGTTGCATGAAGGCGTGAGTAGTTGGGACTCCCGCTTTCCAGTGTGGGGTCACCTCTGCGGAGTACGAGCTTATCCCTTACCATGCTTATCGACTGAAGGTCGATGGCCTCTATCAGTGACTCTATCTCATGGGAATCAGCAGTTTGCTCCTCTTTATGACTATTTGAGCGGGCTCATTATCGGAGTTACTTATAACGGAGCTCGAGCGTTGCCTTGGTCTCAGTTCGCCGCCCCCAAAGCATGCTGTCCTTTATTATCAGGTACTATGTGATCGTTGCAAGCAATCTAAGGTGGTTGTCTTGCGCGGTGTGTGAGTCTGTTAGGAGGTACTTTTCTCTACAGTTTGTGTGTTTGTGTGTGTTTTCGTAATTTCGAGGTGCCCGGCTGCCGGGTCCCGGAGTGTCCGAGGTCCGTGGCATTCCTGTCTTTTGACAACTCCCATTCTCTGTCCGTAGTGTGTTGTGCATGTCCTCCCATGTTCATTTTATATCGAGTGTTCATCCTGGGATTAGCCCGACTGAGTCCGGTATCCAGCTCCCCAGATCCTGGGGGCCCAGCAAGAGGGGGTAAAGGAGAAAGTAAAAGCAGGAGAAAATGAGCAGTAAAGGGGTAGGGGTTATGATCTAAGTTAAGTGGTATCCATGTTCCCTGCTGTCCCCGTCCCGGCGACAGGTGCGTCCCTATCTCGCCGCTAGTGGGTGATGTATAAGAACCACGGCATCCACATCTCGGCGTGTCTAGTTCCTCGTCCCGACAGAGATGCATGTGTTTCCTCCGCTCCCTGAATATCTTCTACTCTGCGAATCCATTCCTTTTTGGTGGGTGTTTCACTTGTTTTCCAGAGAGCTGGTATGTTGGCTTTAGCCGCATTAAGCAGGTGTCGTAGTATAGATTTCTTATACAACGGTATGGGCTGTGTCGAGATGTGTAGTAGTGCCAATTCCGCGTTCCACTCCGTTATGTCTCCCATGATATGTGTCACTGTGTCCCTGATCATTTCCCAATACGGGATGATGCCCCTTCACTCCCACCATATGTGTAGCACTGTGCCGCGTTCTGCCTGGCATCTCCAGCACACTGGGGAGATTGATGGGGCGTTGTGTTTGCTTGTGATTTGTTTCTTGCTTCTCTAAAGGTGGAATACCAGAGGACAAAAAGGCTAGTAAAACGTATTGTGCATGTGTTTGAAGCCTGCTTGCGGGATTGCATGTGTAGAGTGAGCTGATTGTGGTGTGGTGTTTTGTGTAAATAGGTCCGTTTCAGATGTGAAGTGTTTGTGTTGTAATATGTGTGGCTAGGTGCTGTAGAGAGTGAGAAAGAGTTTGTGTGTATAGGGGACACAGTGTGTATAGGGGATGTAGCAAGTGTGTGCATTGGGGATATAGTGTATGTGTGTTTAGGTGATGCCATGTGTGTAGGGGTTGTAAAGAGTTGTATTTAAGGAATGTAGTGTGTTTGCCTACAGGGCATCTGGTGTGTACATAGAGGATTTAGCGTGTGTATGTCAGAAATGTAGTGTGTGTTTAGGTGGTGCAATGTGTGCCTATACGACATCTATTGTGTGTTAGTGATCTAGTACGTGTGTGGAGAACCCAGAATGTGTATAAGGGTTCTAGTGTGTGTAGGTGATCTAGTGTGTGTGTTAGGGGTGCAGTATGTGTATGTGTGAAGGGTGCAATATGTGTGTGTGGGGTGCAGTGTGTGTGTGGTGCAGTGTGTGTGTGTGTGTGAGGAATGCAGTATGTGTGTGTGAGGCGTGCAGTGTGTGTGAGAAGAGTGCTGTGGGATGTGTGTGTGTGTGTGGGAGGGGTGCAGTGTGTGCGTGTGAGGGGTGCAGTATGTGTGTGTGTGAGGGGTGAAGGGTTTAAGAGGTGTGCAGTGTGTGTATGTGTGACAGGTGCAGTGTATGTGAGGGGTGCAGTGTGTATATGTGTGAGGTGTGCAGTCTGTGTATGATGTGTGAGGTGTGCAGTGTATAAGAGAGGTGTGCAGTGTGTGATGTTTAAGGTGTGCAGTGTGTGAGGGGTGCAGTGTTGGGAGGTATTGTGTATGGGGGCAAATTAAATTTTAAATAAAAAATATACATATTTTATGTCCCCCCTCATTTCTTACCTTTGCCCAGGGAGAGGGGGACCATGCTGCAATCCTTGGTGGTCCTAGTGGTGAGTGAACTCTACCCTGCAGCTAGTGGAACTAGGGTTCACTCTTGCGAGAGCAGATGATTGCCATGGTAACCATGGCAATGCTCCGACCTTGCGAGAAGATGAACCCAGCAATGCTCCCAGATCCTCCTCTCACACACACACAACACCATTCACACACACAGCACCCTTCGCACACACACAGCACGCCTCACACACAGCATGCCTCACACACTGGAATCCAAAGACACACAATGCAACTCTCACACACACACTGAAACCTTCACACAAACACACTGCATCCCTCACACACACACACTGCAACCCTCACACACACAACACCCCTCACTGCTGTCTGTGTGTATTCAGTAGTCTACTTGTATTTACAGTCTGCGTGTGTATGTGTTCAGCAGTCTGTGTGAGTGTGTATTCAGCAGTATGTGTGTATGTATTCAGCAGTCTGTATGTATGTATTTGGCAGTCTGTGTATGCCTTTAGCAGTCTGTATGTGTATGTGTTCAGCAGTCTGTGTGCATATCCAGCAGTTTGTGTGTGTGTGTGCTCAGCAGTCTGTGTGTGTGTATTCAGCAGTCTGTATGTATTTAGCAGTCTGTGTGTGTCTTCAGCTGCCTGTTTGTGTGTATTCAGCAGCCTTTGTGTGTATTCAGCAGTCTGTATGTATTCTGCAGTATGTGTGTATGTATTCAGTAGTCTGTGTGTGTTTAGCAGTCTGTATGTATTCGGCAGTCTGTGTCTGTGTATTCAGCAGTCTGTGTGCATTTAGCAGTCTGTGTTTATCCTGCAGTCTGTGTGTCTGTGTATTCAGCAATCTGTATGTGTGTGTGTATGTATTCAGCAGTATGTGAATGTATTCAGCAGCCTGTGTGTAATATGTATTGTATGAATGTATTGCATTTGTTGGAGGTACCAATAAATATAAGCTTAAAGGGACACTATAGTCATCAAAACAACTTTAGCTTAATGAAGCAGTTTTGGTGTGTAGATCATGCCCCTGCAATCTCACTGCCCAATTCTCTGCCATTTAGGAGTTAAATCACTTTGTTTATGCAGCCCTTGTCACACCTCCCTGCATGCGACTTACCTTGCCTACCTAAACACTTCCGGTAAAGAGTCATGTAATGTTTACACTTCCTTTATTGCAAATTCTGTTAAATTTAAAATGTCTTATCTCCTGCTCTGTTAAAGGCTTTCTGGATCCTGCAGGACCATGTATGTAATTAAAGTCCATTTTAGAGAAAAGAAGATTCAACATTTTAAAGTAATGATTGAAAATTAAACCATTTTTTACAAAGAGCCGCGCGTGCATTCAGTCAGTCCATAGGAAAGCAATCACAGTGAGAAGCGCGGAAGCGCCTCTAGTGGCTTTCAATGAGACAGCCACTAGAGGCTGGATTAACCCATTTGTAAACATAGCGGTTTCTCTGAAACTGCTGTCTTTACAGCAAGCAGGGTTAAACCTAGATGGACCTGGCACCCAGACCACTTCATTAAGCTGAAGTGGTCTGGGTACCTATAGTGGTCCTTTAATTTTATTGATAATTAAAAATGTTATTCCTGTGAGTGGTAGTGTAGGCAGCCCTCCAATGTTTTGCCCAGGAGCCCAGAAGACTGTTAAGATGGCACCATAGGCGTGCGCAGCCTATTGCATTAGGGTGTGCACCCTAAAGCACAAACACACGCCACGCGCGTGTGTGTGTATGTATCTATATATATATATATAAACACACACACACACACACTGCTGTGTGTGCTGTTAGTGTGCTGTTAGTGTGATGTGTGTGTGAGGGTGCGTGTTTGTGACTGTGCTGTTTGTGTGTGAGGGTGTTTGTGTGTGTATGTTTGTCCTGTGAGGGTGCTGTTTGTGAGGGTGCTGTTAGTGTGCTGTGTGTGAGGGTGTTGTGTTTTTTTTTAAAGGTGCTGTGTGTGTTTGTGAGGGTGCGGTTAGTGTACTGTGTGTGTGTGAGCTGTATGTGTGTAGGTGCTGTATGTGTGTGTGCTGTATGTTTGGAGGGATTTGGCAGATTAGTAAATCCTTGCTGCCATGTGCCATCCCTGGTGGTCCAGTGGAGAGTGAACTCTAGCCTGCGGGGCTAGAGTTAACTCTCGCGAGATCTGAGCGTTGCCGCAGCAACGCTCAGATATCGCGAGAGGAACCTGGCGGAGCTTCTGTCTAGAGCTCCCTGGGTCCTCTACTGCCTCCCTCCATGCTGCTGTGGGCCGGTGAGGTAGATCTTTGGTCTCCCCGCCGGCCCATGAAGGCTTAGAGCAGAGCCGGCACTCAGATAGCGCCGGCTCTGCGTGTGTGTGTGTGTATATATATATATATATATATATATATATGTATATATATATGTACACACACACACACTGACAGACACACACACATACATACTCACAGACACACACATACACTCACAGACACACACTCACACACACACTGACACACACACATACATACTCACAGACACACACTGACACACACACATACATACTCACAGACACACACTCACAGAAACACACAATCACACATACTCACAGAAACACACACACACACTCACAGACACACACACTCACAGACACACACACACACATACTCACAGACACACACACATACTTATAGACACACACACACTGACAGACACACACATACTCACAGACACACACACATACTTATAGACACACACATACTCACAGACACACACACATACTTATAGACACACACACACTGACAGACACACACATACTCACACACACACACAAATTATTATATTTTAATTTTAAAAAACAATGTCCACCCAGCCTCCTACCTGGAGTGCTGGTGGACTTTTCCCTGGGGTCCAGTGGGGGCAGGCGCCTTTCTCCAGCTGAGCCGCGGCGAGGGAGCTCTCTGCTGTCGGCTCTCGGCTCCCTCTTGCCGCGCGGGCTGTCTGCTGCAGCTGGGAGCCGGAATATGAGCTGAGTGGGGCGTGGGAATCCATCACCTCTTGCCCTCCCCATGACAGGGGCAAGAGGTGAAACAGGGGGCACTGAGTGCCTGCAGGAACAGCGTTCCTGCTCAAAAAAAGTGCAGGAACGCTGTTCCTGCAGGACTCAAACCATAGGCGTGCCACGGGGATTAGGGTGTGCCCAGGCACACCCGGCACACCCCGTGCGCACGCCTATGGATGGCACTGATTTTTGCAGTCTTGCAGGGTTGTATTTAGCACTGAGCAGTGTTTGTGTGTTTGAATGTAAGCATATTTTTATATGGAGTATGTTTGTGTAAATGTAAAATGTGTCTTTATGTGGTGTTGGCATTTAAATGCAAGCATGAATTTATGTGTAATGCTGGTTTTTGAATGCAGGGGTGTGTTTATATATAATTTTGGTGTTTAACACAGAGGTGTGTTTGTATGTAGTGTTGACGTTTTAATGCAGGAGTGTGTTTGTATGTAGTGTTGAAATTCGAAGGGGTGTATTTGTGTGTAGTGTTTGAATGTTGAGATGTATGCACATATACACATACACTGCCAAACACACACTGTGATACCCAAACACACACAGATACACACACACTTAAACACATGCAGATACACAGATATACACACTGACACACATGCAGATACACAGACAGACAGGTACACACACTGACACACACATACACAGACAGACATACTGTCACACAGACACATATACTGACAGACATACTGACACACACAGACACATACACTGACAGACATATTGACACAGACACACACACTGACAAACATGCTGGCATACACACAGACACACTGACAGACATACTGATACACACACATTCAGACATACTTACACACACACTGACAGACATAATGACATAATGACACACACAGGCAGAAATGCTAACACATACACACTGACACACACTGACCGATATACTGACACAAACAGACATACTGACATGCAGACACACATGAAATATTTACACTTTTACAACCATCCTCCAGTTTCTTACTTTTTTGGTGTGTGTGTTTGTATGTCAGTAGATCTGTCAGTGTGTGTCAGTATATATGTCTATCTGTGTATGTGTCAGTATATCTGTCAGTGTGTGTAGCAGTTTATCTGTCAATGTGTGTAGCAGTTTATCTGTCAGTGTGTGTAAGTATGTCTGTTTGAGTGTGTGTACGAGTATGGCACACCCATATAAATGTCCACAGGGCCCTAAGTGCCTGGGCCACCCGATGGGTCAGCTTATTGTTAGGGCCTGCAACAATTTATTTTAGATCAGCAATCCTAAAATAATTTGTTGCAGGCAGAGGGCAGATGGGGCAGCTGCTTTGTGCCCCTCAGAATGGGCCCAGGGCAGCTGCCTAGTTTGCCCTATGTTAAAGACGGTCCCAGTCCTTGTCCCTATTTAGGATAGTGCTCAGCATGTGTAAAACAAATGTTTGACTTACCTTTTCTCCAGCCCTGACACTCCCTCGGTGCTGGTGCTGTGTTGACTCCCATAATGTCATAGTTCTACAAAACTATAACGTTTTTACAATGCAGGGTTAAAAGTGGTCTGGATGACTTTAGTAGTCCTTTAATATAGCTGACCACAGCATCTGGGTGTTGGAGCTCATTCTAGATGGCCTCTAGAAGATGGTGAGGTCATCAACGTAGGCACTGGCAAAATCTTTTATCACAGATAGGAGTTGATCTTCATCCTCTGGAACATGGCTGGGGCAATTTTCATCCCAAATGGCATAACATCATGCCTCCCAACCATCCTGATTTTGGCAATACAGTCCAGATGTTTGTGTCCTGTCCTGCAGTCCCCAAAAGCAAGACACCACATTGCTGGTGTGCAGTACACTATCATTGGAGCCGCTTGCAACTAAGAGGGAATAACTGTCTTGCGATATCAGAAGAAATTCAGAAATCAACTCTCAAGATCTGTTTTAACCCTTAGTGTTCTATATTCAAGCCTTAGTCATAATCATTTCCTTCACAAGAGGTGCCAGCACTCCCTTGTTTTTTTCTACTTTCTACTGTACTCCCCTTTTTTTAGTGTGCTCATACTCTTGTTTTCTTGCAAACATCACAAAACTGAGACTGTAATTCAGCAAATCATGGCAATCATATCTATTGAACTTTAGGTGGCATTGCAATACTAAGAGTATATTATTGAAATACAGATTAAGAAAACGGCACACGCACAAAATATACAGTTTTATATCTTACAAGACTACTTAGAATCACCTATTTGGTTTGGTCACACCATATGGTCATACCATAAGCCCACCACTGCATCAAAGTATCCCAATTAGAGAGACCCAATTGTTGGGTCCTACACTAATTTTTACATGGGAGATAAACATACCAACTGCAATACTTACTGCTTAAACTGTGTCCAGGGACTTTCTTTAAATGTAACCACAAGTAACAAATGCATGCCGTGGTGACCACATAAAGACTGCAACTATGAAGCTTACAAAATTCACCCTAATTAACAAGGTATTCACTAAAGTGAGAATTCAAAGGGAATTTCAATTTGAAGGCCAATGTAGCTGAGCAGGAAGCATAGCTGACTTAGAGAATTTATCCAGTTAAGCTATTCCAATCTTAAATTTGAAATTCACCGTAACCCCCCCAATTGCTTGCCCTATACCCTAACCTGCAATTGCTGCCCTTATACCCTACTACAGCCGCTAATCCCCTGATTTCTGCTCCTATACCCTACTACAGCCCCAAACCCTAATTGCTGAACTATACCCTACTACATCTCCTGTCCCCCACTACAATCCATAGTCACTACTACGGCCCCTAACGTCTCAATTAAAGGCCCTATTATCCAACTACAGACCACTACCGGTGCCCCTGCTGAGATTAGGTTCTTGTTATTTTTGCACAAAGATGACACTTATAAGCTATTTGGCCACAAAGATGGCACTGATTTGGGGGCAAAACTGGCACTGTAGGAAGTTGGTGACATGCTACCTGGTAAAGTTGGGGGACCCAAAGAGTTGGAGTGGTTTCCAAAGGAAATGGGTGTGGTTAAATGTGTTATGTTTGCGAAGGGGAAGGGTTAGCGATATAGCATGGGGGCACCAAAAATATTATTGCACCCTGGTGACACTAGGATCGGCTCTGTGTTGCCGCTCTTACAGTTATAAACCAAATATAACATTTAGATAGACAGACATCAAACTGTAATGAAGCTTCTACTACATGGTTATCCAATCATTTTTAACTGGAAATTATGCAGTGTTAGCAGTGTGGGTGTTGGGATTACATTTTCTAAAAACCCTAGATAATTGATTCCATTTAAATAAATAAACAAAAAGAAAGCATCATATACCCCTGCCCTATCATTTTCTTCTTTTGAAGTTCACACTGTCCACCTATTTAAACCCACTCTTTTAAGAATTGCTATCATCTACCGCCCCCTGGTAATCCTAGGCTAGGGATAGGCAATCTTTGGCACTCAAGATGTTGAGGACTACATCCCCCATAATGCTCTTACACTCATAATGCTGGCAAAGCATCATGGGAGGTGTAGTCCAAAACGTCTGTAGTGCTGAAGGTTGACTATGCCTGTCCTAGGGAATTCATTGAGCACTTTTCTTTCTGGCTTCCCCACTTACTCTCATCTAGCACTCCTTCCCTTGTACTTGGGGTTTGAATATCCCAATCAACAACCCCAACTGCACTGATGCCTCTCACCTGCTCTCTGTAACCTCCTCCTTTGGCCTTACGCAATGGTCCAATTTAGCAACCCATAAAGCGGGAAATACTCTTGATCTTTCCTTCACCAATCTCTGTACGCCTCTAATCTATCCAATATTCATTTTCCTCTATCTGGCCACCATCTGCTGACTTTTGACATCAGCATACCTAAGACCCAACTGACACCACTGTCTGAACATCAATCTCACAGAAACCTCCAATGTCTTGACCTAGAGCATTTCTCCACTAATCTCCAAACTCTCCTTTTACCTATCTCAAACCTCATCTGTCCTAGCTCTGCAACCTCCTTCTACAATTCCACTCTCTCCTCTCTACTAGACGTCATGGCACTTCCTACATCTAAACGCAAGTGCCCCCAACAACAACCTTGGCACACCAAGCTGACTCAATACCACCAAAAATGCTCCAGAACTGCTGAACGCTGTTGGAGGAAGTCTCACTCCGCATCTGACTTTCTCCACTATAAATTTATGCTGTGCTCATACAGCTTGGCTCTTTCCTCTGCAAAAGCAAATTACTTCAATACCCTCATAACCACCCTCTCCTGTGAACCCAAATGACTATTTCACACATTTAACTCTCTTCTGCCCTATTGTTCCTCCTCCACCTACTAACTTGACCGCCTCAGACTTTGCAACTCACTTCACTGACAAGATCTCTACAATCAGGGAAGAGATCTCACATCTTTCTTCTTCCCCTTACCTCACTCCCTCTGCGTTTATTATTATGAATATTTTATTATTTATATAGCGCCATCAGATTCCGTAGCGCTGTACAATGGGTGGACTAACAGACATGTCATTGTAACCAGACAACTGGATGTATAGGAACAGAGGGCTTGAGGGCCCTGCTCAATGAGCTTACATTCTAAAGGGAGTGGGGTATAGTGACAGAAAGGGTAAAAGTAGAGGTATGAAGTAGGTTGTAAGAAAAGTATTTATTGAGGGATTAGTAGGTAATTTTTGACAGTTGCAGGAGAGGAGTCATGGGGGTGGGGGATAAAAACCTGCTAACAGTTTAATTGATATGCTTTCTTGAAGAAGTGAGTTTTCAATGATTTTTTGAATGTAGTGGAGACTGGGTGAAACTCTTATGGAGAAGGGAAGGGAGCTCCACAGAAGAGGTGCAGCCCTGGAGAAATTTTGGAGGTCGAGCA